TATATGTAGATTCTCTGGGTCGTAGGCTTGTAATCGGTTTATATTTTTACGTTTACCGTCAATATAGACAACCCAATCATCGTTACTGGTACCTAGGTCTACTATTATTTCATTTCATTATGCGAAATTGCATACTAAGCGCGTTTACATTCATGATGTATGTATGTCAATGCGAGTCAACATTCGCAATTATGTTAATCTTGCTTATTTAGTATCCCTTTGAGTGACATTGTGTTGATATGTTTTGTAATTCTGAGCAAAAATAACTGTTACCGTTTACATCGGTCTGTATAGTCTTAGGACATATCTTTGCGCTAAACGTACAGGGAAACAGATTTGCCCTCTAGTAGACAGTAATACTATTAAAGCTGGATTACTTGCTGAGCACCAAATTGAATCTCATTCAGTGCAATCCTGTCCTCTTGTCCCTTCACCGTAGAGAATATTCATATAGAGCTCGGAGAACGTGACTGGGAAAATTGTAATAAGCCTTTGTTGCCTTCTTTCTCTCTATCGTTGATCAGGACCTATCGAGTCCCTCAGAAAAAGGATGAAAGGACTCTGAAATGAGATGTTGAGCCTCGTGACATTTTTCGAATTTTATTAGCTGCCTTTACGTACACACATACATATTCAAATTATGCAAACAAGTTTAGAAATTAAATGCGGCAACAGTCCATACAGGGTTCGTGTGGAAATTTTAATTAAAATACGTCAGAGTCGCATATCTGTCCTTCAAAGATTTTCTTATTAAAAGAACACATTAAAAGAACTTCGACAGGTGATCGACTGCACGATAATTACTTGAATCTCATAACGTCACATAAATTTTTTCAGTTCCCTTTCGACATAGTTCAAAGAGGGCTTTTCACCAGCTATGTAGCAATTTTTCCGTTGAACTTCTTCCATGTAAACCACTCAAAAGGCGCGCTGAGAATACGTATTGCGTGTGCGTCGGTGCGTGGGGTTCTGTATGCCAGTGTACAAGTCTCGGCTTCGTGAGTGTATGGAAACTTTTGACACACTCATTTCTCTGAGTCCTTCTGCTCAATTCCCGATAAGCTTTCGCCTCAGAAACAAGCAAGCGTGCGCTAAATATGTGAAACACAAGCTAAGGGAGTAGCGATGTACACCTGGTTATAGCACAACTTCGTAGGCTATATTTAAGCTTACTGTGTGACCTTTAGAGCACTACGACAAGAAAAGACTGAAGGCTAGTAGTAGTAGTTGAACACGGACCGGGCTGCTAGGCCTACATCAGGGCGAGACTGCACGGAAGACGAGGATCTTTTGATCAAAATAGGTCTAGCTGGCAGATAGCATTAATGGTAGCGGGACCAGTACTCGGCAAAAAGCAAAACGAACGCGGGATTGATATTTAAAACAAAAGTGGCGTCACTTGGCGTGGACGATAGCAAGAAGAGCACTTATAATGCCTGCGATCGGAGACTGGTTGGTTGGCCATTCAGCTGCTATGGCTTCACGGCGATTACTGCGATAAGATGAACGAGATAACGCAGCAGAAGGAACAGGCAGGCACAACTGCCTATTGATACATCATAGGGTTAGCCAGTACGCGCAAACAATCAGAAGCTGCCAGACCAAAAATTAATAGTAACAGAGACTGAGGACTCCATAATATGTTTCTGAGAGCATACCAGTATTATAAATCGCAAAAAAACTATAATAAAATTACGTTAAAACTTAGAAATGCATATTTAAAATGTAACCGCAGCTTTGATTATAGAAAAGAGGAATGAATACATCATAATTCTCCAAAATAGGTTTTAACACCATATAATTACCTTGGCAATCCCTCAAGAAGTTTCTGTTGTTGAATTATGTAAATGAAGTTGTATTTCGGAAAAGTTAACTGTGGATGTATTTAGATTATAAATATCGGGATAACGCAGATAACGGCTATATTAAGAACAAATATTTTTGAAATATATTTTGGTACCCATAGATAATTAGCAATATTATAAATATATTGTTTTGGCAAGTACCGAGTGAGCAGCAGGCGAATTAAACAAGCGCGATCATTGATCATAAAAACAGCAGTCGTTGTATAGTAAAAATATGTATGCAAAGTGTAGAAGATATTACATATCTCCGCTAAATCATGCGCGTCATCAAAATTGAAGATACCGAGTGAAAGAAGCCGTCGGTTACAATATTTTTAACCACGGTTAATATAATTGATAAAATCCAATAATAAAGGCAGTCACTACATAGTACAACACAAAATATTTTTCAAATTAATAACAGGTTTGAAATAGACAAGTGGAGCCTTTCCGTTAGCAAGTCTTACGTTCGTCGCTGAAAAAAACTGTTAACAACGTAAAGTATTGCAAGTTCTGTGCGTAAATTCACCCCTACGATGATCGTTTGGCTAAAGAAATGAGACTTCCTTGAAACATAGACTCGAGTATAATTGGAAGCAGCAACTAGCTAATTTGTTCTCATCCTTTCATTCTTCTTTTTAGATGGTATTGGTCATTATACTTTGCGTCGGAGTTGAAAAGCATTATACGTATTATTAGCTAATCCTTTATCGTAGTCCTGATATTAAAATTTGCTCTCTACTGGTTTCGTGTCTTGTCATACCCAAACGTATATGGCAACTCTGCTGGCTATTTAGTGATTCATTTTACCTGCCTATATAACATGTTCGGTAAGAAATTAAATGAAAAGCCATTAAGACGGAGTCGGTACAACGCCACTGATTCACGGCTACGGAGTCTCCTGTCACAATCGCATAAGTTACATGGGAGTCGATTCGATATTGAAGTTGTTGTTATATAACATACTTTTTTCGTAGTAATTTTTTGCTTTCGAACGTAGCGAACAATCGAAATTAAAAGTTAACAATAAGCCTATAAGGCCTGTTTACAACACTGTTTCACTATTTCACGACATTTATTCAGAAATTCCAAGACATACGCCATAGATCTGACTGCTTCAATTCATTTTTAAAACTAAATCATATCTGAGACGCTGTCGCACTTGAACATAATACAAGAACAGAATAAGTTGTCACCGGTGCACATTTAGAGACACGTCCCTCTATAGTATACAAACGTTCTTACAGTTCGGAAAACCGTTCTCGCGTTTCTGTCAATGTTCAAATATTTTTTAACAGTAACATAAATTTTTACCTTTCTTCACGCTTCAAACACTTGGACTGATTGATGTCCGGGCATTCAAGAACTGCTATCGGTTCTGGTTTTGTTTCAGAGAAATTGATCTGACTTTAAACAGCTCATGTTGCTCTTGGGTGATAAGAAATTACTTTGCAGTTTGTACAATTCGTTTACTTAATTTACTCAGAGTTAAACATTTACGAACAAATTATCTCTAGCTGATCTAGAAAATTGGATGAGATAAACCCCTCAGCGAACGCAAGAGCCAACGACGAGCTAGTGGGCTAAACTAAGTAAAGCTGGAAACGCAAAACAGGGCTAATCTCGTATTTATGAGTTTTCCCCAAGGAGACACTAAAGAGTACAACAGCTTGCGTATAATTAGCAAACAAATTGTGTCGTGATTCTTTTTCGTTTTTTGTACATCCCAGTGACACCCTGACACATT